GTAGTTTCGGAAAAAAACAATATCGAACTTTAGCAAAAATTTCGATAGGATTTTCGATAGATTTTCATCGATAAATCGGCTGAATATCAAAGAGTTTCAGTTTTCAGACAGATCAAGACATAATTTAGTTAGATATGGTAAAGTAGGGTTATCAAATTGACAATATCTTATGTAATATGTAGAAGGAATGCACCAATAATTTAACACAGACTATAATAATATGTAAAAAAAAGATTTTACTATCGTATTTTGTTATTTAAAGTGAATGATAGTAACAAACTTGGCATATTACATTACGATAAGTGCATTCTATACTGCATTTCGGCTGCGATCGTTGAAGTTAAGCAACTTTCGCAGTGATCGGTCATTGGATGGGTGACCAAAAATTTACCATCTCGAGCTCCTTCGTGCTTCGGAAGGTACGTTAAGCCGTTGGTTCAGGCTGTAACTGCAGTCGTCAGCACCCACCAATCCGCACTGAGCCGGCGAGGTGAATCATGGTCCAATCTCCCTATGACATCCATAGGGTGCCCCAACAGTGGGACCATTAATAGGCTGATGATGACGCGAATTTTATATACGACACTGAAGGTGAAGCCTGCCAATGCCCTTTCCTCTTGAGGATTACCAATGTCAATTTCCGGAACTTCATACGGTTGTGATTGTGACAGGGTCCTCATCCGTAACTTAGTGTTAAGGTCAGGAAAGAAGTTCCCCACCTGATCACTTGTGTTAATGTTTGCTGTGAAGATCGGGAATGCACGCTATTTTGACGTTATATCTGAAGAGAAACAGTAATTATTTAAATAATTTATTATAGGTAAACTAGCTGACCCAGCGAACTTCGTACCGCCATAAAAATAGGGGCAGGTGGTAGGAGAGAACATTTAGGATTGTCTGTATTTTTAATACCACATCATAAAAAAATAAATACAATATTTATTCGGCCAAAAAAATTGTGTTCTATCAATTTCCTGGGATAACATTCCTCCTAACCCCTATGTCATAGGGCCTATGAGAACACTACGTTACAATACCCAATAGTTTGAATTTTGGCGCAAAGGCGCATTGTAGGTTTCAGAACACTACGTTACAGGCGGACAACCAGTATCACTTCAGGATATGAAAAATAGATAGAAGCCGATTCTCAGAACCACGGAATATGCATATAAAATATCATAAAAATCGGTCAGGCTGTTTCCGAGGAGTATGGTAAGATGGTAACTAACATTGTGACACGAGAATTTTATATATAAGAAAGAAGATAAGAAACACAATATTGATGAAGTTTAAGAATAAGGTGTAATGTACTGTTTCAATCTCTAATTTTCTATATGCACATTAAACATAATTTGTTCACGACAATATTTAACTACGTATTTAAAAAGATTCTTATCAAATGCCCTATCTTGGACATATGATGTATCATTTTGTATTTACGCAATACGATTTAATTAAAGCAAGAATTATTCATATCCCTAAGTACTTTTCTAATAAGGTTCGTCATTCTTTGTGCTCTGTATAGTAAAGCGCGATTCGGTTCTCCTTTGTTATCTCATCAAATAGTCATCAATGACTCAAACAGTGATACAACCAACAGACGGATCACATACATGTAGATTTTTATTATTTATTTATCAAATCTTTATATATATAATTCTTCTGTGAGTGTGTATGTCACTGAACTTCTCTTAAACGACTGGACCGATTTTGATGAAATTTTTTGTGTGTGTTCAAGGAGATCTGAGAATGGTTTAGATTCACAATTTTGTCCGCTGGACAATGTTTTTTTAATTAAATTTTTTTATGGCGGTACGAAGTTCGCTGGGTCAGCTTAGTATAATTATAATAGTATAATTTATATTTATTTTAATTCCACCAAACTGATTAATTGGCGAAAAATGCACTCATCTTAAAGCAAACAGCAATATGAACTTCGTTACAATATAATGTAGGTATAGGTTTATTATTATTATATTTTAAAGCATTCAATTGCAAGATGTTTAAATCTAAAGAAAAAATTACTATAAAAAATTCAACGGGGACAGGCAGCTGACAGGACTCGAACCGAATGTAGGTATATTTATATAATTTAGCATAGACCTTTGAAATCTTGTACTCGTTGCGTGATTTAGAAAGATTTAAACATGCTTATGGTTTTATATAGCACATAAGCGCGTGCCCAAGACTTCGTCGTTTACCTAATTGATCTGTCTGTCTGTCTGTTATCCGCATGTTTAAACGCTGAATAAATTTTGATGAACTTTGGTGAAAAAGAAAAGCGGATCTTCGCAATGGAGATAGACGTGACATTTTGTATGGAGTAAGCTGAGTATTTATTGAAATCCATTTAATAGCAGCTTTTTGGTCCACAATTATTTTCGGTACTAAATCACCTCGGTACCTACCGAGTACCTACTTACATAAAATTGTTTACTAAGCGAGTATAGAGAGTATTTTGAAGGAGAGAGCGTTTTATGTCGCTCGAGCTTTAATAGTGTTGCTCCCGAGGTGGACACTCTAAATACTTTTTATCACCCTTTATGAGAAAATAAGCAAATGCAACTAACATTTTTAGCGTCCGATACAATGTTCTCAAGTTTATTTATGAAATATTTTTTTTAATAAAACCAAATAAATTCCCACTTCGAGTAAACAATTATGTACGATAGCGAGTTTCTGGAGTTTTTTACTTTTTATACAAACTTATTATTATAACTTGATATATAGAGCATATGACTTATATTCTATATATAAAATATTCGTGATTGATCTCTTTAGTCATTGGAACTTTTACTAACAACAGCCATATTCCTAATTCAAATCACTTTTAGTCCCTAGGGATTAAACGCTATTTAGGTCCTTGTAAACAGAGAACAGTTTAGCTCTTTTGAATAAATATGATGAAAAATATTGTTTTCACCATCTCTTCTAAATATAATATGCTATTATTATCTAAACAGTAGTATAAAAGTATAGTGATCACAGGATATGATAGTAATCTGTGATCTTAACTATAGGTACAATAATGTTTAGTGTGACGTAAAGGAAGGCCATTCCAATTAGTCTAATATGAAAAAGTAGATTATGTTATAGATAAAACCAAAACAATTTTGCCATAAAAATAATTTACTTAATTGCTTTTTATTTACGCAATAGATTATTATATTAAATATTGCGTAGGTTGTTGTAATGTAATTTTGAAGGTATGTTGACATTGTCATGACTTAATATACTTTTAATATGATTACGTCCCTACTAAATAAAGCTTGAGACAATAGTAACTATGAATATTTTCGTAACAGCGATCTAAGAGAGGCCGGATACAGGCAATTTTCCGCTCTATTTTAAACGCCCGTTTGAGAAACCAATTTCCACCTTACAGAAAACCGCGAGCATCGTTATTCTATAATAGTTGTACTTTATATTTATGATTCGCCTTTTTCGAAATAGTCGTTGACTGTTTTGCTTTCAACTTCTTTCACGATGAACTTTCTTTAGGGTTCTGTACCTACCTCAAAAGCAAAATACGGAACCCTTATAAGATCACCATGTTGCCCGTCTATCAAGACCCTTTTTTATCTGTAGGTAGGTTCGAGGTTATGACTCCTTTGGAGTTTAGATGCAAAGAAAGCAAGTGCAGTGAGGTGGGCTGAAGGAGTATGTAACTATGTTTTTGTGCCACACCAGCTCTTCTTCATCTTCGTGACTGAACTACACTTATTAACAGTTACCATCTCGACTTCGGGTGGGATAATTTTCTGTTCCCTGTATGAAAAGATACAAAAATTTGTAAGAAAAAGAAATTAGTTAGATCATTAAAAATACAGATACTAATAATACATTACTACAGCGGCCAGCTAAATAGGCATAGATGGACGAACGTGCAAATGTGGGCCGTGGCACGCATACGCAAGTCTATCAATGCCTAATTATGGCCAAGGCTTGTATAGTACTTTTCTGAAATAATGCGCGGAAATTAAAACTTAGTAGGTATTATAGGCGGAACTTTTGAAATTCTGGAAAATCAATGACAAACAACGAACAACAATATTTTTCCATGTATAAAGTTTTCACTTGTTTTTTTTTTCATTAACAGCTTTCTATTTCGAAATTCAGTTCGAAATTTAAATAAAACTCATCAAGTTTCGGAATAAAAGATCGTTTAATTTTTAAATTACTGCACCTATGTAATTTATTTGGCTGCTAAACACGACAGATATGGATTTTCATACTTTTGCCGGCTGCTGCTCACGTGTATTTGGTCAGTAAAGCAATTTATCTTTAAGAAGTTTTTATAAATACGGCTCATATTTCCAAGCATGTTTGAGAAAAAGACCTTTATCATTAAATTGTACCAAATTGTTAAAGGTACTACGTAATTATTATTGTGTTCGTGCGCACAATAATAATTGAGAAAGATTATTAAATATATAAAAGTGAGCGATCATAAAGAGATCAAAGTAGGAAAAATCTACCCATTTTCTTTCTTATTCTTAATAACAAAAGGCAGGTGAACTTGTATGGGTTTTTATGATACGTTGAAAACCCTCTTGTGCGTAACTGCAAGAAAATTAAATATTAGATTCATATCATTATCGCACGGTACGGACTTGGCGGGTGTAAGTTAGTCGAAAAAATGTATAACGATTTCTCCACACGCATGGCGAACAGACGGCAAACAGCCAACATAAGCATGAGGAGGCCTATTTGTGTTGGGTGATTGTGATTGGCGTTTGGAGGTACTATTACATGATCGCCAAGCATGAGGAGGCCTGTTTGTGTCGGGTGATAGTTATCGGCGTTTGGCACTTTGTTTGACGTGTTTGGCGTTTGTAACAAACAACAAGCATGCGGAGGCACTATAAGGTTTCTACAGCACCGTTTTCCATCGTGAGCGCTGCCTGTTGTTGTGGGGTGGGTAGTTGTGTACTTTTATACTTATATGTTTAAGTGCATTTCCACCGAGTGTTTTTTTTAATATAAGTATTTGTCATCAGGTAATAAGCGGGAAGTGGTCAAAGGAGTAGACGGCAGATTCTCTTCGGGGCAGCTGGTAGCCATCATGGGGCCATCTGGCGCAGGCAAGAGTTCACTACTCAACGCAATATCTGGTTACCGGTAAGTTTTGAGTTGCGACAATACAATGCTAATTAAATTACACTAATTTCGGCAGGTCTGAATTTTGTCGCAGAAATCTTAATGTTTTAATATTATTATGCATATATTAGCGGATGGCAACAAATTCATTTCGCAGAAAATCATTGGGATTCACTCATTTATCAGAAATTTAAACTCTTAGTTTTAAGTCAGAATAATCTTCAGGTATGAATTTGATATCCTGTTAATATTATAAATGTGAAAGTTTGTATGTTTGTTACTCAATCAGCCAAAAACTACTGAAAGGATTTGAATGAAATTTGGTACGCATATAGTTTATGACCTGGATTAAGACAAAGGATACTTTAATCTTGGAAAATAACAGGTTCCTGTGGGATTCTGAAAATAACTGAAGTGAACGCGGACGAAGTCGCGGGAGGCCGTTAGTCTACAACAATAAAAAAGACTTACCAGTATATCGCAAAAGGTTCACAGGCCGAATCATCTTGGCATGCAAATATTTAGATTATTCTTGTTTATTTATCTATTATATCAGATGGCGCCTTGCCGGCCGCTTGCTTCGCTCGCTCGACTCGCTTTAAGCTTTGGTCACAATTGGTACTAATCTTACCTAAGCAAATGATCACAAACACCGATTTGTTTACCGAAATTATGCAGAATAAAATTTTGCCAGAGGTAAACCAGCCTAATAAATTATTAAAAGTATGACATTATGAATTCGGCCATATAAGCATTCGACCAAACAATGATTCGTTAAAAGAAGATTAAGCCAAGTGCGTTATGCCAAATGAATTTCGAAGCAACAAGATCCTACGAGTTAGAGGGAACCGCATTACGACACCATTGCATGAGTATAATTTTTTTAGCATTTTTAATTTCAATACTGTTAGATATAGCATTCGTGATCCTTCTAACCTTCGCCTCTGGTTAGACGAAAATCATGTCTAGGCTGCGATTTTATACTAAACTAGCGGACCCGACAGACGTTGTCCTGTCTACACGTCTTTGTGAATCTAAACCATTCTCAGATCCCCTTGAACACACACAAAAAATTTCATCAAAATCGGTCCAGTCGTTTAAGAGAAGTTCAGTGACATATACACTCACAGAAGAATTATATATATAAAGATACTCAAGAATAGAATAACGGCACAGCAAGAAGTTTTTATCTTTTATTTACGCAAAAAACCACAGAACAGTCCTTTCGTGGTCACCTAGTTCAATGAGCATAAAAATGACTTTGTTTTAAGTACTTAGCTAGGACACGAATATTGCAGGTCAGCAGGCGTAACAGGCGAACTCCTTGTAAACGGTCAGCCAAGAAACGAACACCAGTTTCAGAAGTCGTCATGCTACATAACACAGGAAGATTTGCTACAACCACTGTTGACGGTCCGGGAAGCTATGGACGTCGCTGCAAGTCTCAAACTTCCGAAAGGCTCGAAGATACATTCAGAGGAGATCCTTCAGGAGTTAGGGCTTCTGGAACATCAGCATACGAAGACTGACAGATTATCAGGAGGACAAAAGAAAAGGTAGATTTTAAGATGATTGATTATTTTGAAAGGTATTTTCTGATAGTTGTCAGTGATTTGTAAATTTGAAGTAAAGAAAAGTTTAGGATATGTTCTAGGTAGATTGATAAAAGATGAATCTATCACTACTGTTTTTCAACTTAATCAATGCCAAAAGTGGCAAAGTTTAGATGTGTCTGTATGAGTAACATCCTACTTCCTACTAATATTAAAAACCGGCCAGGTGCGAGTCGGACTCGCGTACCGAGGGTTCCGTATACTCAATTTAATACCTCTACGTGTTTATGAGTAAAAAAAGAGGTAGTAACTTTAAAATTTTCAAAAAATATTTTTTATTATATGATGATGATGAGCAGTTTTGACATAATGTAAAGAGGATTTAAGTTTTTATGAAAAGTAATTCCTTGATTCTTACTTCACTAGTAAATATTCATAACTATCTATGATTCATACTTACCTGAAGCTTTTTTACTTGAAGTCGTATCCAAGGCTTTTACAAGTGTAAAAGTTCGCTTCTTCTTTAAAGCAATTTTCTACCGCTTTTTTATGTAGTAAATATTACTTGCAGGTTATCCATAGCTCTAGAGCTAGTGAACAATCCTCCAGTGTTCTTTTTGGATGAGCCTACGAGCGGTCTGGACACCGTAACGACTGTGCAATGCGTCAGACTACTGCGGCAGCTGGCACGCCAAGGCAGGACTGTTGTTTGCACCATACACCAGCCTCCCGCTTCGCTGCTAGAACTTTTCGATCAGGTAATCATCATAATAATCTTATTATTATTCCCGTTATCACCATAATCTATATAATATATCTACTAATGTCTCCACTGCTGGGGCACAAGCATTCCCCATGTATGGAATAAGGAATTTGGGTATGACACACCACGCGGCCACAATGAGGATTGGTAGGACTTCAGATGCGTTTGAGACTAATCCGTGCCTACTGGAGCACCTAATAGCTCGAGATATAAGAAATTTTGTCATCCATGTGATTACTTACTGGCCATTGCGGTCTGGACCATAGTCTGGACATTGCAACGACTGTGCAATACATCATTAAAAATATTTTTAATTGCATGCAAATAATTAATAATTACAATAAAATAATAAAAGGACTGGAAAAGGATAGTTAACACAGTCAATTAAGTTCAGTTTTAATTTGAAAAATTAAATAAATATTCAAAATATTCAATTAAAATCACTACTGAATTTAAGTTATTAGTCCATATGTAATTAGCACTTGTAAGTAACTAAAACACGTTGTGTCTATATAGAAACTAGAAACATGTGGATAAATATTATAAATATGAAAACAGTGATCAGAGGCGACGAGCGTGCCAACATTGTTTTTGACAACGCGATCATCTTATGGAGCTCCGTGGATCGTTCAAAGTACTTTTCGAACAGATGTCTAATAATGGTGGATTATTAACCACTAAGTGGTTAATAATCCACCATTATTAGACACTAACATTCATAACGCGCCCGCGGCCAACTTCATGGTGTTACTATTGTGTTACAGTGATGCGCGCGCATCTCGAAATTTCACTCACATGATTTTTTCATAACGCGCCCGCGGCTAACTTCATTATGTTACTTTTGTGTTACAGTGATGCGCGCGCATCTTAAAATTTCACTCTCATAATTTTTTCATAACGCGGCTAAAGAAGTATAACTTCAATAATGCAGAGACAATTTTGTTGGTGATTTTTTTATTTCATCAAAGGGCCGTAGCTATCTCTATACCTGCTTACAATGTTAGCATGACGCGTGATTAAAATTGTATGTAAACCAATTATGAAAAATAGTTACACACATTGTATTTCAGTAAAGATAAAGGCAACTAGACTTATTGCTCATAAACTGTTTATCGTGTTCATAAACCATAACAATACTTACGTCTTGGCAACATCAGATCAGTACCTACTCCTAGCTCGAACGATTATAGAATTCGAATAGTTTGCAAACCGAAATGTCAATGTTAAATTTTGTATGGAAACTTGAACAGCAGCGGCACAAAGTACGTAACGAGAACTAAAAATCAGTACACATTTGACACTGACATTTCGGACTCGCAAACGATACGAATGTGATATTGGTTCGTGCTAGGGGTACCGATCAAATAAATTAAGAAATTTCAGGCTTATCTTAACTCTTTATGCATAAAATATCATACCTATTTTTGTTTAAACTTACTTAATCTGATTATAAAAAATCTCGTGTTTCTAACCGAACTCCTCCGAAATGGCTTTACCGATTCTTATCATATTTTTGTATATATTAGGTAGGTCAGAGTTTAGATCGTAGACTATATTCTACGACCCTAGGTGAAAATGTTAGCCCTCTCCTATATTTTCATATTTTCAACAAGAATTTTATTTTTTCATGTTTTGGCATATAAAATACTTAATTATAATTTTTCACCCTTCTACTTCTACCCCTATATTTATGACGTTACGAAGTTTTCTGGGTCAGCTAGTGTGATACATAATTTATTTTAGCATAAATCATATATCACGCTTTTGTCTTTTGTCAACAATATAGCGGTATCTTAAAGAAAAGCTGTAATATGACATAGGTATAATTTTAGTTGTAAATGCAAAATAAATATCTATTATACCTATAAAGAAGAAAAGCATCAGTGATTATCTTATAGCCATTTTGGTCATTGTATAACTTTTTTAAACAATGACCAATGATTAAGTCAAAGAAAATTAAAGAAAATTCTTAAGAAAACTGACTATAGAAGCAGCTACGGACTTTGTTTTTCGACATTACTATAATTTTTCGGTCAGCGTATATCATGAACAAAATTGTCACACCTAAATAAATCTGTCTCACGGAATAGCAAATGCACTTGGACATGTCCGTTTTTTTAGCCTAGGTAACTCAATTTGCATTGCTTGCATATGCAATTAACTTACTAAGCTTGGCAGATTGAAGTTTCGAAACGAAACTCCGAACAGAACGGTCGAAATAAGCTTCAGAAATTATACTCTAATTAAGATTAGATTATGGGCATACCGAAACGAAATCACTCGCAACCGTCCATTGAATCTATTCTAACTACAAAACTTTACAGTGTAAATAATAACTGGTACTGGGCATACCTCTGGCAAAAAAATACGACCTGAAACTTATAATTGTAAGCATTAAAGCATACAAGATTGCGTCTTATTTTGCATTAAAACCACCGCAATCTCATTAGAACTGGTATGCGGCCAGTTTATTTTTACACGACTGCTAAAAAAGGAGTGTAATGTGTTATTAGGGTTCATGTATGCATGTTTGATAGTTTGTACCAGGCTTCGAAACATTTAGAAACAAAACGTTTAAGATATTATGAGAGTGACAATGAGGATCTTTGGATATTTGTAAGAACTTTAGTAAACAGGGTGATGATGAACCTTTTGATTTGTGCTGTATATGTGTCCCCAGCCTGTTCTATACCATGTTTTAAACTGTATTATTAAAATCATCAACAGGTCCATTGACGCTTATAAAACTGAAACTCTAATAATTGGAGATTTTAACTTAAGCTTTTTGAAATAGGCTTTTATGCTTCTACAGTTCTCTCGCGCGTACTGTTTTGGAATATGCCTCTTGCGTATGGAATCCACAACACGAAATTCATAACGAAAGAAAAGAACGAATCCAGCCGAAGTTCACAAAATTTTTGTCAAACATTAGTCGTAACTATAGTCTAAGTCCCTATCGAAACATTTAAAAATTGACACTGGGAAAACGAATAAAATGTGCCGACATCTTGTTGCGTTTTAATTTTTATGTAATAATTGTGACATTGTGCTTCGGAAGGCACGTTAAGCCGTTGGTCCCGGCTGCATCTGCAGCCGTTATCAACCCACCAACCCGTACTGGGCCTGCAGAAGAAGACTGCTCCCACTGCTGGGGCACAGAAGGCCTGTGCCCCAGCAGTGGGGACATTAATAGGCTGATGATGATGATGTGACATTGTTATTGGTGTGTCAATTATAATAAATAAATTTTATTTAACCATTGTATGGGATGAATATAATTTGAGTTAAATTGAGATTCAGCGAAATTCCTGCAAGTGGGCCTAAATAATATTCTTCTCGAGAATGTCTGCGTAAACAATGAAGCGGTTGATTGACTTACTAAGCAATTATTATTACAATCTTGGAATTGATATCAGGGGTAATCATTCTAAAGTAATGCCTGTTATTACCCACAATTCACACTACTTAGCTCTACCTTGTAAGAAGTCATTCGATTACGAGAGTGTTAGCGAGTGGACGCGTAGCAGTGTTACTCCTAATTTATATAGCAACGTGCATAGAAATATCTACCATATTGCCTTTGTATTGAAGTAATAGTTGAGTGTTTGCAGTTTTTTTTTTATTGTTCATAAATACCGGCTGATAATTGCCGCGGACGGACTGTGCGGGCTGAGGTAGGCCCCACCTCACTTTGCCAACAAGGGACAAGCTGCGAGCGATCGTTATCTCTGTCTCTCTTTGCGGCGTGCGAGCACTGTTCCTGTTATCTAAGTGCATAGAATTTCGCTTGTCGAGAAGTGGCACTTCGGAAAAGAAAGAATGCTGCGCTCCCCTGACGGTTGCTACGGCTCGAATCCGGATCTTTCTTCTTCGACTGGCAAATATACGCTGCGCAAGCGCTCACATGATCAAGAATTTCAGGATTCTTTTAAAGCATTTACTAATAATATAATGACCACACTTAATGAGTGGAAAGCCGACTTAGAGAGGAATTTTTCTGAGGTCAATAGCAATGTCAACAACATTATTAAAAAGGATCTCACAATGTTGACTGAATCCACTAACGAGATGAAAACTGAAATTAGATCAATTATTCATGATTTCCACACATTTAAGGTAACTTTAAAAGATATGGGAGACAAGCAGAAAACTTTGGAGGGTGAGGTATCCGTGCTGCAGACGTCTATGCAATTTATTTCTGATCAGCAGGATGAGACTATGCAGAAGATAGACTGCTTTACCGGCTATATAAGGAAAATTGACTCACTAGAAAGTGAGTTGAAGGTCATAAAATGCGAAAATAATACACTAAGAGCAGATATTAATGCATCAGAGCAGCGGGAAAGATTAATGAATTTGGAGATTTTAGGAATACCAGAATTAAAGGGTGAGAATTTGATGAACGTAATTGTGGAATTAGCCAAAATTGCTGGTATTGATCTATCTATGGAGGATATTGTACACGTGCATAGAATTACACCAAGAATGAAGATACAAGGACGTCCACGAGTTATAGTTGCTAAATTTAAGACCCTTCTCATTAGGGATAATATCTTATCCCAGGCAAGGAAAGCTAAGCTGAACACGACTATGTTACAATTTGTTGGAGAAGGCAAAAATATTTATGTTAACGAGCAATTGACATTTTTCAATAAACAGCTTCTAAAGAAGACCAAAGAAATTGCTAAACTTAAGTTGTACCAATATGTATGGGTAAAAAACGGAAAGATTTTTACGAGGAAAAACGAAGTCTCCCCGGCTTTGGTGATACTAAAGGAAGAAGATTTTATGAAAATAGTGTAAAAAGAAGTTCACTCTTACTGTTGTTTGTTGTTGTCATATGTCGATTTATGTGCGTTTTTTGCGTGAATATTTGTCCTATCGTATATTTCTTAAAGATATTCAGAGCTACAGATCCATGTTTAGTTAAGAAACTGTTTTTGCTAATATTTTCACCGATTTATATGCGGAAAATATTTATTAAGTTAGAAGTTT